CAGGCAGAGTTGCTCTGCCCCGGGCTTCCTGGAATCAGCTGCTGATCAGTTTCAGCAGCATCTGACTTGGGGATGCCTGGGGTTCTTAAGTTGATTCTGTATGTAAGTCAGAACTGGCGGTCAGTTTCAGCAGTGTCTGAATCTGGACGCCAGTTCCGACTTACATACAGATTCAACTTAAGAACAAACCTACAGTCCCTATCTTGTACGTAACCCGGGGACTGCCTGTATATGACAACTCGCAGTGAGACAACTGGTCCCCCAATTATATCCTTGACAGGAAATGACATGCATGCTCAATGGGTCTCTATGTGGGAATTAGCTACAGACAATACAAAAAACCTCACCAAATGAATCAGGTGAATGGCTAAGTCCATAGATATGGTTAGGACTCTACTGTATAATTCCCAGAGCATCTTTATTAAAATGTATCACATTCCTTGTTTCTGTCTGCACATCACTTGCATACCATGTGAAATAGCACAGGATAGCACTATTGGACAGTAACATGGCAACTGAAACTATATGAGGAACTCATATGATGTCTCAGAAGATAAATGGCCATTTTCCAATTAGCTCCGTACTCAAGTTTTAATTAAAACAAAACACAGCAAATAATGAGGCCTTTCAGAATGACTTTTACTCAGTATTCATTGGTGAGACCACATACCAAGTTTTAATACTTTTCCTAATCCATAACATAATGCTATTAGTCTCTACCCAGTTTTTTTCAGAAACATTTTATTTATTATGCTTTTCATCTGACTAAATAATCATTGTCCCTCTGCTATTACCCCAGGAGACAGAGAAACAATCACAGGTAAAACCAACAATGATTTCTGTAATAACAGCTTTCTAGCTTGTTGAAATCAGGGAATTAGCTTTCCAAATGAGGCTGGAGTTATGTTAGCAGGAAGTGACCTCTTATCCTCATTAGTTCACACAACGTGATGTTTCAAACAATCCACAAAGAGCAAAAAATAAAAATAAATCTGATGGGTCTTATCCTGCATGCCATCAGTTTCAGTGGGGATTGTGCTTGAGTGACGACGACAGAATCAAGCTTTGATTTTGATAAATTAGAGTAAACAAGAAAGACAATGAGATTTTTCCAGGATTATAGTCATTCCAGAATTATAGTCATTCCAGAATTCCTGGATAGCCTTACATTTTAAATATAGTGGGAAAGGTTTTTTACAAGAAGTAATTGTCTCCTTCTCAGTCATCCATCTGACTAAAACAAAAAACAGGACTATGTAGCACTTTAAAGACTAACAAGATGGTTTATTAGGTGATGAGCTTTCGTGGGCCAGACCCACTTCCTCAGATCAAATAGTGGAAGAAAATAGTCGCAACCATATATACCAAAGGATACAATTAAAAAAAATGAACACATATGAAAAGGACAAATCAAATTTCAGAACAGAAG